ATGTTTTAAAACAGGATGGGAAGACAACAAGAGGATGTGAGAAGTCTTCGACTAGACCCCAAAGAAACAGACTCTTGCGTGAAAAGGAGAGTTCGGTTTAGCCAACATGTGTCCCCAGAGGGCAGCTCTATCCGTGGTCCTCAGCTAGGGGTGCATGACAGAGTCACCTGCTGTACTTGTTATAATTCTTCTGGTTGCCAGAGATAGAACACCTAACCCAAAGTGACCTATAATTAATACTACTAATAATAGCAAATAAATAAATAATAGGATTTTTCCCCTATCATCTAATAGTTCAGGAATATATCTTGCTTCAGTTACCACTTGGTCCATCCAGTTCTATAGGTATCTACTTTTACTTTAATATACAATATTGGTTTAAAAAATCTTCACAGCATTTCCAGATTTGGATTCTGTACCCTTGGGCAAACCTCTCCTGTCTGGCACTCAGCTTTCTTTGCAAAAATAAGGAAAGTGGACAAGGTGATCTCATTTGGAAACTGAAATCATCACATTTTACCTCAAGTATAGAGTCAAAGAGTGTTTTTGCCTTGGGTTTGAATACAGCAGGATCTCAGTACCTACCTTCTATAAATTCAATACCTCTCTCACCAGGGAGAAGAGTTTGGTATATTACTTTTCTCTAATTAAGACTTAGCCATTCAAAAAGGAATATCTATTTCCAGCACACACCCTAAAAATAGTGATAACTGCCATTTGCACAGCAATTGACAGTTTTCAAGCTGTGTCACAAATTTGATTTTTGAAAAGACCCTATAACAAAGCCCAGTGCCCAAGTGAAATTAGGTGTATTAATTTACTGCAGCAAGGGTATCTGCATACTACGGAGAGCCATGGGAGTGGCTGGTGAAAGGGAGCTAAACGGTCTTGTGCTAGGTCACTTGAGGGAAGGCTTAAGGATTCTGAGTTGAGTACTCTCAGGAAGTGGGAACAATCTCATGGGTGAGTATCTTAATAATTTTTACCTAGGAGGCAGAAGGAATGAGGGGCTGGAGTTGTCACTTGACAGAAAGGCAGAGACTCATATTAACTAAGAGTAAGGACGTTTGGTCATTTTTATGGTTGCAAATCAGTCTTGCTCCTATCTTGTTTCATCACAGTCATGGAGTGCTCATGTCTGATGTTGATATTTAATGAAACTGTGTTCGTCACAAAACCAGCAGCCTAGCTGATCATTGCCAGGCCAGCTACAGCTGTCAGGGCCAAGATGGGAAAACAGGCTCAAGGCAGTACAGTGTGGTGGTTGAGAGCATGGATTGGCAGCAGACAGATCTGGGTTTGGTAACACTGAGCAAGCGTAAGAAACATTAACTGTTATTATTATCCCTTATCATCAAAAGGTTAAGTGACTTCTTCAAGTTCACACAGTTACCAATGGTTCCAGACGAACAATGTATAAAATATTACTCTACTACTTTTTTAAAAAAGCAAAACTTACATGTGGCAGTATATAGATATGTAAGTGGTATATACACATACAAACTACACATATTTTTTTACACACATAATGTTTACATATGATACATGTAAGTTTATATATATATATATATATATATATACACACACACATACATACATACATACACACACACACACACACACACACACACACACACACAAACTTTGGAAAGAAATTTGAGGAAACGGCAGCAGCAATGACAACAAAATTTTTGAATCTTCCCAAATCCCCACATAAAGACAGAGCAACCAGGTATCAAAACCAAAAACCTGTAAACAACATTTACAACAAAGTTAGTTTGTGGGGTATCCCCACAAACTCCAAAATACAAATGGGTGGGAACCAACCACTGAGAGCTATGAGACCTGCATGTTTTCTGATCTGTGCAAGAGAGGGAAGTAATGGGATGTCTTACAGACTTGAGAAAGGTTGAACCCAAAGCAGTCAACAAGTGCTCACTACTAAGTGTGGTGGCCCACTTGGGAAGAGAAGCCAAAGTGCAGGACTTTTACCTACTCAGAAACAGGGGAGAAGGGCTGGCCAGTTAGCTCAGTTGGTTAGAGCACAGCCTTATAACCCCAGAGTCACAGGTTTGGTTCCCCCTACAAAGACCACTAGAGTCATGTCAAAAGGACTTGGTTGCCAACAGAAAGAGGCTCTCACTGGCCAAAAATGGGGAAATTTTAATGTCAATAATAGTAGTAATTTCAGTGGAATGAAATTTATAAAACTATATGTTAATCCAGGAATCTATAATAATAATAATAGTTGATCATCTTCAGAGGATGATAGGGAACCAATTATCCTGAAAACTTAAATGGGAAACAATCAAGCATTTATCCTGACTTTTTTATATGAAGCGTATCACCATTTAACCAAATAGCAGATGGTGGAAAGTGTCTCTTTATTAAAATATTCCAGCCAATAAGTTAAAAAGAAATGACTCAGAATATCTCCATTTTGCGATCCCCGGTGAATTAATGGACCTAGCCATTGAGCATCAGTAGCTACCAACATCACAAAAGGAGAAGCACCAGGTGCCTTCCAATGCAAGAACATACCACCACCTGTAGTTTGGCCAAAGAGATGGACCTGAGAATCTGAACAAGTCTCTGAATTTAGCTACAAATTTGTAGGAAATACAGAGGACAGAGGAACAAAAGAACATACCACCACCTGTAGTTTGGCCAAAGAGATGGACCTGAAAATCTGAACAAGTCTCTGAATTTAGCTACAAATTTGTAGGAAATACAGAGGACAGAGGAACATGATATAGTGCACCATGAGTGTGTAATCAACAAAGTCCTCACTATGGAAACTCTGCAGCTCAAACAGCCCAGATTTTCAGCAGATAAAAGCTAAAGGAAAGAAACGGAGAGAGAAACCTATAGATTAAAAGATACTTGAAAAACATATTAAAAATTTTTAATTGGCAGGATTAAACTCTGGTGTCTAGTAATAAATACTTGGGTGATTAAAGCCATAAAGAAATGTGCAAGACAGCAATGATTATTAAAGTAAGGATAGTGGTAACTTTTGGAGGGAAAAAGGGAGAGAGCAATGACTGGACTGGGATATGTGGGGAGACGCTTCTGGGGAGGGCTGCCAAGTTCCATCCCACCCTTACATCTGAGTGGTAGATGTAAGGGTATTAACCCTATAATGATTCACTAAATTATACATTTGTTTTGTGTGGTTTTCTGTATCTATATTTTACTTTATAAGAAGATGTCTTTTTATAAAAAAAACAGAAAAACACATATGCAGGCAAATCTACAGAGACAGAAAGCAGGTTATTTAGTTGCTAAGGACTGTGAGAAAATGGGGAGTGCCTGCTAACGGATACAGGATTTCTTTTTAGGGTGATTAAAATGTTCTAAAATCGTGGTAATGGTTGCACAACTCTGAATGTATTAAAACTCATTGAATTGTGTGCTTTAGGTGAATGAATTGTATGGTATGTGAGTTATTGAGATATTAATAAAGCTGATATATATAGTATAGATATATAGATCTAGATATCTAATATACATAGACAGATAGCTCTAAGGATACCAAATGGATAGTGGTTAACCTGGGCAGAGGGAGGATGGATTTGTTGCATGGAAGGTAATGAAATAAGAAGATACTCACTTTCTACAAAGGTATTTCTGAACTGCTTGACTGTTTTACGATGACCGTGTATTGCCTTTACCTGTCCAAAACAGTCTTGAGCGTTGTGTTAGTGCTGTTGATAGAGCCTGTGTGATCACGGACATGTTCTGTATCCGCTGAGGACACAGTAGCCACTAGCCACACGTGGCTCTTAAGCACTTGTAATGTGGCTAGTGAAACTGAGGAAATCCATCTTTAATGTTAAGTAATTAAAGTTTAAATAGCTACTTGTAGCTAAAGCAACACAGTAGCCACTAGCCACACGTGGCTCTTAAGCACTTGTAATGTGGCTAGTGAGACTGAGGAAATCCATCTTTAATGTTAAGTAATTAAAGTTTAAATAGCTACTTGTAGCTAAAGCCTGCCATATTGGACAGCATAGCTCTAGAACGTGAAGACAGACAGAACTCAACTCTCCTGTCTCCCAGGGTCACTTGGTCCAGGAAGAGTGTGTGTGTGCACACTCACGAGTGTGTGTGTGTGTTTTCCAGGACGATTCACTCGCCATCTGAATATCATTTCCATCAGTGCCTTTGAGGATGAAATTCTAACCAAGATTTTCGGTTCTATCGCCGACTGGCACTTTGGGAAAGGGTTTGATGTAATGTTCCTGTTTTCCAGGACGATTCACTCGCCATCTGAATATCATTTCCATCAGTGCCTTTGAGGATGAAATTCTTACCAAGATTTTCGGTTCTATCGCCGACTGGCACTTTGGGAAAGGGTTTGATGTAATGTTCCTAAGGTAAGAAGTTCCAGCATCCTCCCGGAAGTTGGCCTGGGGTTTCTCAGTTCTGGCCCTTCCTTGATGGGTGTGCCTCCTCTCCTCCCAAGGTACGGAAAGATGCTGGTACAAGCTACTAAGACAATTTATAGAGCTGCGGTGAAGAACTTCTTGCCAACTCCCTCCAAGTCACATTACGTCTTTAACCTGCGAGACTTCTCACGGGTGATCCAAGGGGTGCTCCTCTGCCCTCACACCCACCTGCAGGTCAGCCACTACCACTTCTGTTACCAACATCGTTCAGCAATGTCCTCGGTTGGTGGGGGGGCTGTGTAATGATAGTGGTAACAGCTGACTTTTACTGAGCATTTAGTCTATGTTAGTTATCATGCTAAGTATTTTATAAGCATTATCTCATCTAATCCTCACATCAACACCAGGATTTAGGTCCTACTTGAGAACTAGCACTTCAGGCATCACCTTCCATTCATTCAGATAATTAACTCTGGATTTTTAGGATGTAGAAAAATTTATCCGACTTTGGATTCATGAGGTATATCGGGTCTTCTATGACCGTCTGGTTGACAAGGAGGACAGACAGGTCTTCTTCAACATGGTGAAGGAAACCACCTCCAATTGCTTCAAGCAGAGTGTAGAGAAGGTAAGCCAGACTCTGTGACCATTTGACTTCAGAAATGATCCCAAGTGTTTGATCACATTTGTCTCAGATTTCAGGTTCCCTTCCCAATGGAAACACAGCTCTGCTCTCTAAATCTTGGGAAACAGTATTATCAACTAGTTGTTTGATTTGGTGATATTTTACTTGGTCCAATTTTACTTCACTTCCATGTAAACATAAAGTTTGAATCCATTCAAAGTAGTTTAATATATGATGCTACTCATTTATAATTAACTTAAAATGCAATTAATTTGTGAGTTGAGAAACGAACCACATATTTTTATGGTATGACTGAGGCCCTGAGCCCAAGTGAAAGATTGCCATGGTCTACCACTTGTGGATATTTTCTCTTTTCCATTGTGATGTAAAAGGAGTCATTTTAAACCTATATATTTGTCATCTGGTTCCACTTCCATTGCTAAGAAGCTGTGATTGTTCTACAGAAAAATTGCAGAGGTGTCCATGTCACCTCCAGAGTCCAAGTGCAGAAGTGCTTCTAATGTCAGGAAAAGGAAGCTTCTAGAACGGTCCTGCTCTAGGCACAAAGCAGGGACCAGAAGTAGTGCCTGAACTTCTACTTGGTGAATGAGCGAGCACATGGAAATTTTGTCATTCTTCCAGTGCCTTCTCTGTGAACCTTATGATCTGACCACCTCTTAACCGCTTGGTAAACAGACTGACCCTCACTTTCATGCTCTTTATCTAATGTCCTTTTCATCAAAGTCTTTACAGCCATCAGACTCACATATGACATTGGTTTACTTAAAAACTATTAATTAACCATGACTTGAAGGATGTGCTCGAAGGAAACAAGCACATCTCCTGCTCCCTCCCTCTGCACCTCCCACTTCCTCTGGTTAGGCCACTGGCTGAATGCCCAGCTGAAACTTATCTTTCTCGCAGGTGCTCATCCACTTGTCACCCACTGGAAAGATCGTGGATGATAACATCCGTAGCCTCTTCTTTGGAGATTTCTTCAAGCCAGAAAGTGACCCAAAAATCTATGATGAGATCACTGACCTGAAACAGCTCACAGTGGTCATGGAGTACTACCTGGAAGAGTTCAACATCATCAGCAAGGCCCCCATGTCCTTGGTCATGTTCAAGTTCGCCATTGAGCACATCTCCAGGATCTGCAGGGTCCTGAAGCAGAACAAAGGCCACTTGCTCCTGGTGGGCATTGGGGGCAGCGGACGGCAGAGTGCCACCAAACTGTCCACATTCATGAACTCATACGAGCTATACCAGATCGAGATCACTAAGAACTATACCAGTAATGACTGGCGGGAGGACCTAAAGAAGATCATGCTGCAGGTTGGCGTGGCCACTAAGAGCACTGTGTTCCTCTTCAGTGATAACCAGATCAAAGATGAGTCATTTGTGGAGGACATCAACATGCTTCTGAACACAGGCGATGTGCCCAACATCTTCCCAGCTGACGAGAAGGCTGACATTGTGGAGAAGATGCAAACAGCAGCCAGGACAGAAAGAGAGAAGATTGAAGTCACTCCTCTTTCTATGTATAACTTCTTTATTGAGAGGGTGAAAAAGAACCTTCACATTGTCCTTGGTAAGACTCGGTTTTCCCTTTTTCCTCTGGATCTTTCCAGGTCTTCTGAGTGCCCTACACCCAATCCCCTTAAATGATTCCAGGGTTGATCCAGTCAAAGCACCAGTCAGAAGTCAGAGCCTGGAGTTCCTCTGGCAACATTTCCCATTCTCCTGAACAACTGTTTTAATAAACCTGTTCCACTCTCTTCAATTCTCTGAATTCTCCTCTGAAAAAGAACACATTTTAGCATATTGCCCTTGCACAGAGCAATGTGCAGGGCATCTCCAAACTATCCAGAAACCTAGGAGCTGCATTTAATCCTTCTCTCAGTTTTTACCTCCTGACTGTCTCTCATCTCCACCCTCTTAACTCCATCTCATCCACCTTCACATGAGCTAAGCTGCTGTCATCTCACCCAGACCTCACCTCCAACCTTGTAACTGTTCTGTCTCTACTCTTTCCCATTCCAGACCTTTCTGTTATATTGAGCCAGGATCATTTTTTTCATGTATACTGCAGATATGATCATTGCATGTGTGCACGTACACACACAAATTAAAACACTTAAATTACTCTCCATTAGGAGAAGGACCAACATTCCTAACCTGTGGTCTTATAAGGCCACCAGCCAGACTGTCTCTACCCTTATCTCGAACCAAGCATCTCTTTTTCTTTCTGTTCTTCAGCCTCACTGACCATACACTTCCACCTGTACATCACACTTCCTCCTACCACACTGAGTTTAAATAAACAATGAATGAAGTTTGGGGTGTAGAATTCAAAATTGGAGGTTTGATGGAGATGGGGTCAGAAACAACCTGACACCCTACAACAACTTCTGTGAGTAACTGTGTATGGGGCATCCATGGCTCCCATATATCTTAGAGTCAGCAGAAATAGAGCAAAGGGCTCAAGCCACTCTGGCTAAGTGACCCGAAGGATGCAGAAGGGACAATAGTGTGTATGGGAGACCAGTTAGTAGACAATTGTAATATACTGAGATCCCATCACAAAGTTAAATGAAAATACCCCATGATTCTCCCAAGCTTCCCAGACACCTGTCATGGCTATTCATGTTTACATCCCTGGAACACCAACAGGAAACATGACACACACCCCCAACTTATGTCTCCAGAATCCTTGGAAATACCTACCTGCCCCGTTGGGCCTCCCTGCCTTGGAGGAAGGGAATTAACAAGGTCTACTTTTCATTAGCCATGAGTCCAATTGGGGACACCTTCCGGAACCGCCTGCGGATGTTCCCTTCACTCATCAATTGCTGTACAATTGATTGGTTCCAGTCCTGGCCCACGGATGCCCTGGAATTGGTGGCCAATAAGTTTCTAGAAGATGTGGAGCTCGATGACAACATTCGCACAGAGTAAGCGTTAGCTGCATTTTAGTACCCTCAAAACTCCAAATTGAAAATCCGGATGCTGGCTCTATTTTTGTTATTGTTTTAAAGATTTCTCAATTTACATATAGCAAATGTCTTATATTTTTAAATTGGATTGCAGTTAGATAGATATTTAATAAAGCACCTTTGCTGAAAAAGAATAAAATGTTATTGTTCAGCATGGTCCTGGAGATGCCCCATTGTCCTAGCTACGAGGACCTAGATATGACGATATAGCTACGTCAGCAGTCTTAGAACTTGTGTTCTCAACAGGAACGATATTGCTGCCAAGGAGATGAAAATCGGTTCCTGTGAGAATGAACAATACTTATGCTTTTATGTATAAAGCACAGATACACACACAGAGAGAGAGAGAGAGAGAGTGAGAGAGAGAGAGAGAGAGAAACGCTTAATTTTGGCTAGAGTAAGGGAAAAGATGAGACTGTCAGTCATCCTAGGTGCCCCATGAAGGCAGGGATCAATCAACTGTCTTATCTACTTCTGTATCCTTAGTGCCTAGCAGATGCCTGGTACATAGTAGGTTCAATTACTGTTTGTTTTAGTCCATTTTGTGTTGCTATAAAAGAAATACCTGAGACTGGGTAATTTATAAAGGACAGAGGTTTATTTGGCTTATGATTCTGGGACAGCTGCATCTGGCACGGGCCTCAGGCTGCTTCTACTCATGGTGGAAAGTGGCAGGCAGCCGGCGGGTACAGCAGATCACATGGCGACAGGAAGCAAGAGAGAGGAAGCAAGAGATAGAGAATGTGCCAGGGTCTTTTTAAACAATGAGCTCCCGTGGGAACTAATAGAGCAAGAACTCACTCATTACTCCCCCGTCCCCCAGGGAGAGCATTAATCCATTCATGACGGATCTGCCCCCATGACTCAGTTTCCAACACTGCCACACTGGAGATCAAATTTCCACATGAGTTTTGGAGGGGACAACACATCCAAACTCCATCACTGTTTTATTAAGTGAATTAATGAAAAATGAAGAAGGAGGCAAGGGTCAGAGTATTGATAGCCATAAGTTCCATTTCAAGAATTTCGAACTTTATTCTCTAGACCAGAGAA